ACTAGGGCTTTGAAGACGGCCAAGTACCAAACCCACAACACAAACACGCCGCTAGCAAGATGCAACGAGCTGTTGAACTCTTCGTGAATCACGTCAGATGCTGACTCCGTGAGGACAATCATCTCACAAGCCCACGTCAGCCGGTTTCGTGACGTTTTTTGTTTCTTCTTGGCAGCTTCACGCGATACAACTGTGCTGAAAGCAACTTTCTTGGAGAAGAAAGCGTCTTCGAAAGTTTGGAGATCCTGCCAGCACACATCCTCAGACCCACTGGCAAAAGCTTCGGTGGCCAGCCACAGCGCGAGGCCACTGGCTTCGTAAAGTCCAGATGATGTCAGGGACGCTTGGCAGTAATCTTTGCTCCACACAGCCTGACAAACGACAACGGTCAAACAATAATAAATGACATTGATCGACATGCTCCCGCCTTGTATCCGGTCAAATCCCCCATCTTGGCTTCTGCGTTGATGGCAAGCGGCGGTGTCTTGAACATCTGCTTGGCCTGCGGAAACTTCAGAGGAAGCTGGCTGCGGACCTCGGGCAGGCACGGCATGCAGCACTGTTAGCCGCGAGACGGGACACGGTATCAAGAACTCAGCGAAGGGCCCATGGCACGATGTTTGCCAGGGCTTCTTGAGCACTGGCCTGCTTCACATGGCGTGCCACACATCATCATCACACACGTCATACTGCTCCGAAAATGCTGAGCTCAGAACGGTTGGGTCGGTGGGCAAATCCGGCACTTTTGCCATTGAGCGCGAGTACAGAAGCCTGGGAACCTGGGAGCCGAGTAGCCTTCCACGGAACCGTTTGGAGTCTTGCGGTGCAGCGCAAGGCAATAAGACTGCTGCAGTGCAGGACATGCTGCAAACAAACACAAACTGACGTCGACAGCGGTCCTTTGTAGTCGTGGGCCCTGACACAGTTTGTCGACGAGCGGCTTGAGCTTTACATGTCCATTTAAATCAAGTTGGCAGCAAAGTAAGGAAGCATCAAAATCCTACTATGCTGCTGATGAGTCATCTAAACATGACGACACCAAGCCGGCGCCACATGGACCTTGGAGCCTGGGAGCCTAGGAGCCTGGGAGACGCCTCAGCTGGGCATCAACGGCAGCGAGGGCATCCTGGTCGCGGCGGAGCTGCTTGTTGGAGACGTCCACCTGTTCCTTCAAGCGCCGTTTGTGCTCCACCAGCTTGGAGCGCTGAGCCTCAAGGAGAATGTCTGAGTGCTTCCTGGGGTTGCTCATGCTCACGATGACCATCTCGATCCCGGACCTGCGTACCTTCAAGTTGCCGGTGCGGATCCGCTCTGCCAGGTCATTGCCCTTGAGCATCCAGAAGTACCCCATCGGATGGAGAACCGGCGGTGACTGGTTGATGACGCCCTCGCAGCTGAACTCGAGCATGTCCATGTCGAGCTGCTTGAGGGCAAAAAAACCCAACGTGGCCGCTGCGTGCGTGGACGAAGAAACCGGGAACAGGGATGCACCGGGATCCGGAAGGAACGGATCCCCCTGCGCAGCGAACACGTGGTTCCGGGCCAAGAAGTTCACGAGGGCAGATGTGTCCTCCTTGCTAATGTCGAAGCCGCCGCCGCCGCCGCCTTCCTCCGACTTGACCGCCGTGTAGCACATGAAGCCCAAACCCCCGCCAAGGTCGGGCCCGGGTGCAAGGGTCTGCCAGGCGCGGCTGGTCGTGGCCTGCACCATGACGTGCCTTGATCGGACGCAATACCCTGGACCCCTAAACCCCTAAACCCCTGAACCCTTGAACCCCTGAACCTCTGAACCCCTGAGCCTATAATTAATATAAAATTAAATAACAATAAATGAAAAGACTTCCTGGCGTCCGATGTACTCGAATTCAAGGCTCCAGTTCGCCTCGTCGTGGAAAGGCAGCTCCTGGCAAGGATCCGAGAACAGCGGAACATAGTAGCCGCCATCCTCCACCACAATGTCTCTTGCAGAGCACGCTTCGGCCAGATTTTTCTTGGTGAACAGTGTGAGAACCACGAACTGGGTCTCCCCAATGGCTTCTGTCAGCTGGCGGCGCGATGAGCGCAGCTTCGCCTTCACAGGCTTGTCTGCAGCAGACGGGGCCGCCCCCAACTTGCGCATGGCTTCCTTGCGCTGCCATGTGATGGCGTCCAGTTTCGTCGCCAGAAACAAGGCACGGAAGCCGATCTCCGGTGACTCGTAATAGGAATCCTTCTCAAACTCGGAAGCCGCCTCCACACTCTTCTCGTAGTCACTTGCCCTCAGCGCACAGTAGCCGAGACGCGACCAAGATCTCTGAGACTGAGTCTCTATCACTGGGTTCTCCTCCGGCTCGGCGATGATGGTGGGTGCCATATCTGCGGCGGCTGCTTTAGGATCGGCTGCGGCCATTTTCGCAGGCGGCATTGGGACCTAGTAGCCTATGTGAGCCAGGGAGCCTTGGAGCCTGTTGCCGCAGAAGCCTCGTATCAGATGCTGATAGTGACATGGCAAGACTGACACAACACACTGTCGCATGCAACTGTCATGTTCTGACAACTCAGCCACACAGCCAACCATGACTGAAATGAAACGACTTTGGGCCTGCCCCTCGACGTCCAGCTTGTCGACGACAACAGCCTCAGACAATGCAGTGACAAGTGACATGTGCATTGAAGGGTCATTTGCGTGCGTTGAAGGGTCATTCGTGTGCATTGAAGGGTGACAGGTGCTTCTTTCATCATTAAGGCACTGCTAACGTGACCCTTGGATGCACTCAAAACACCCTTGGATGCATGGAACAAGAGCTGCCGGGACCCTTGGATGCATCCAAAACACCCTTGGATGTAGCGCCGCGGCGATTGGCGCGAATCCTGCCTGTATTGAAATGAAAGAGGAAGGCTATTGCAAGGGACAAATGGAACGTCAATACACCAGGGATTGGCACCAATCCATGGTGTATTGCATCCTACCATTGTCCTGCAATTAAACAACTGCAGGGGAAGTGAATTGCAAGGCCGTTTTGTCCTGCCAATACGCCCCGGATTGGCACCAATCTGCAGTGTATTGAGCAGGGGCTTGCAACAGGCTCTGTTGCAGGCACCTGCTGCCCCAGACAAGGTTAACCCTGCCTTGCGACACAGGCCCCCTGTACATTCCTGTGCGAACGACTAGACTTAAAATGATTCGACCCCAGGAAAATTCCTGCCTGCGAACCTGGGAGCCAAGGAGCCAAGGAGCCAAAGAGCACTGTCATTAACTGCTGCAGTACAGGACTATGACGCACGAACTTTCTTGGGTTTCTTGGGGGGCAAATGCCTCATCTGTACACCAGCACCGGACAATGTCCGCTTCTGGGACAACCCGCGGACGGTGCGGAGGAAATTCCAGATATCGGCCTCTCCATTGATCTTGTAGGTGGTGCGCCTCTTGGTAGCAAATTGAGTGGGCAGTGGTGTGCCGATAGCAACACGCCACTTCGACTGGGGCAACTTCTCACAGAATCGCAGGGCCTCGACGATGGCACGGGTCCTGACTGATTGAACTTAAATGAACCCAAACCCAACCCTAGACAATAAACCCTTCAACCCGAAACCCTTGAACCTCAGTGTCTGTGCCACCGAGCAACAGTTGACAGCTCTTGGCGATCTCAAGGCCGACCAGCCTCGAAGTTGCAGCTGTGTTGAAGGACAAGAACGACTTCTCAGCATCAATTGTCGGATTGTCCAAGTATGCCAGAATCGCCTCCCTGGAGGCAAGCACTTTGCCACAGCCGTACGCAATGATCAAGGCAGGAACCTGGGATGAAACACGTCAACGTGTACCAGCAGTGACGATCTAAGCCTGGCATCATCCGACTTTTAAACATTTTAATTAAAAGCTTGGGACCAGTCGGTCGCTGCGGACCGTCTCCACATCGGACAGTTGTTCGAGGACCAGGATATCGGCGGATTCATACTCGTACGGTCCAAGAATCTGGAAATGCTTGTTGCCTTGCAGCGACTTGCTGTCCGTGTAGCGACGATAGACCGGACATAGCTTCAGAGCTCGTTTGCGGAGGATGCTTTGCAAGACGGATGACCGATCCTTCTCGTGGCCGTGCTGCACCATGCGCAAACCGCCAAGCCGTGCCGCCGTTGTTGTGTAAGCAATCTTGCCAGAGGATCGTCTCCGCGCTTCCTCTTGGTGACCTTGGCTGGATGACAATGACAATGTGTATGACACTTCAAATGACTTAGCACGGAAAGCAACCGTTGTGCTGCTGAGTCACCGTCATATTTCTGCTGTGTGCGTGCACGGAAATTCTCCAAATGCTTGAGGGCATCTGGTGTGGGGCGGGCGAAAGCCCAACGTGTGCCAGCAACGCTGTTCTGGGCAGAGGCAGACGCTGCCGGCAAAGGCAGGCTCAAGCCCGGCACGAAAGAGGCCGGCTTCCACGACCTGCCTTTCGAAGCAGCTGCCTCTGCTCTCTTCGCTGCCTCGGCGGCGGCTGCTTCACGGCCTCTGACAATTGCAGCCAGAGTTCCAGAACGTGCCTGGCGTGGCTTGCTGGGCCCCTGCTTTCGTTCTTTGTTGTAGGTCATGCGGAACCGACGCCCAAAGTGACGAATCCACAGTTCACCACAAAGAACCCCGAAGTCAGTTGGGGTCAGCACGGCACCTTCGCTCTCCGGCTTCCGGAAAAATTCTTCCTCTCGCTGGGGACCTTCAACTGCCACCTCGAGGATGGAGGCAATGGTTGAGCCATTTGGAGTGAGGGGTCCGGAATGCGCCTCCAGCTGTGTGAGCAAGTGTCCCAAATCCCTTTCCAGCGTGGTCGTGTTGATCTTCAAGGACAAGAAGAAAGCAATGAGGGCATGACAATCCTCTGTCCATGGAAGTTTGTGTGCATGCCGTGCACGCCACGCTGGCCGAAGCAACCAAGACCACGCATGTTTGTTCCCGAAGCCTGGGTCCTTTGACTTAGCTGCTTCTAGAAGAGGATGCAATTTGCGAGCAAATCGTCCAAACAGCACGGCTGTACCGTGCGAAAGCTTGAGCATATCACAGAGCTTGCGTGTAGAGTCCACTAGCTCCTGTTGTCGGTTCGTCTCCTGCCACAGCCGAAGGTTGAATACCTGCAGAGCCACGGCGATCTCATCCTCCGTCAGATCTACTCGCAAACGCTCCAGCATCGCCTCGACCACGTGCGCCATAGTTCCCATGATCTGCCTTACATCAGAAATGCCGGCCTTCGTGCACAGGTAGTGGACTCTGTTGCCATAGAAGATCCTAGGTTTGCCACGGCGGGCATACCAGCGAAGCCTACTGGAACACAACCGCTATGACGACGACAAACTTGCAGGGTAGTTGCGGCTCTGGTGTCTGGATCTCCTCGTAAACTAACTGGGTTGCACACCTCCTGGGAGCCTGGGAGCCTGGAGCCTCGGAGCCGTCCACGGAACTGGGAACCTGCGAGCTGTCGGAGAGGATGTATCCATCCACAAATAAGAACCGCTGGCGCTTGGTGAACTCTTCCAGCACTCTGGGGGTGCAGGATACATCTGGATCCTCAATGTCAAAGTTCCTGCGCAAGAAACCCAGGCACTCAGATGTGTAGTCGCAAGTGAGTCCACAGCGCATGAGGGCTGCTGCATTCATGTTTTGCAAGGCGCGCTCTGCTCGGGAGCGAATCTCGACCGTGTTTCTCTCCTGTGTGTCATACAACGGACATTTCAACATACATGACATACATGCGTAGAGTACATACATACTATTACATTACATACATACATGCATACATACTACATACATAATACTTACATACATTAAATTACATACATACATACATACATACATACATACAAACATACAAACATACATACTATACATACATAACATACTACGATACATACACACATACATACAAACATTCAATGTTTAAAATAATTTAATTTATTAATATTAAATTAGTTCATACTCAGTCATACAATACATACATACATACATACATACATACATGCCATACATACATACATACATACATACACATACATACATACATACATACTACATACATACATACATACATACATCATACATACATACATACATACATACATACATACATACATACATACATACATACATACATACATACATGTATTATGTTAATAATAATATGTCTAATAATACCTACATGCATACATACATACATACATACAATGCCAATACAATACATACATACATACATACATACATACGTATCATACATACATACATACATACATACATACACATACATACATACATACATAATACATACACACATACATACTTTAAATTTCTTAACGCTACACATACATACATACATACTACATACATACATACATACATACCTACATACATACGTACATGCATACATACTTACATCCATGCTTTACTTACATAATACATACTACATACATACATGCATACATACATACTCATACATAATACTTACATACATACATACATACATACATACGTACATGCCATACATACATACATACATACAATTCAATTTAGATACTACACATTGAAAGTGAATTACCATGCATTAATACATACATACATACATACATACATACATACATACATACTACATATCATATACATAATACTAAGACTACATACTTAGTTATTATTGAATAAAAGTTAATATATTATTAAATAGTTATTAATCATTGTCATTAATATTTATTAATCTAAATTATTATTATTATTATTATTATTATTATTATTAAATTTATTAAAATAATAATTACGTACATACATACATCCGCACATACATGCATTAATACAATCCATACTAAGACTAAGATTTAATACACAATAATTAAATTAAAATAAATAATAATTATTAAATTTAATAATTTTAAAATTTGTTTGACATAAGGACAAGACTCGTCAGCAGCCTGCATAGCACATAAGACCGCCATCGCACGAATCATGCACAAGTACTTCAGCATTGGTGTGGCCGACGAGTCAAACCGAGGTTGGGAGAACGACAACGCTCGGATCACCTTCTCCACACCAGCCTGGGAGCCATGGAGCCTGAGAACCTCTTGCTGGGCCGCCATGAGCCTGGCCTTCCAGACTTCTGAGTTCTGGATGTCCGGGATAAGCGCATGCTTGCCCTTGCCGGGAGCAAACAAACGCTCCCACTGGTCTTGGAACTCGGGCATGGCGTGAAGAGGGTCCTGGTAGGCAATACGAACCTGGTGCGCAGGATCATGGCTTACCCAGACCAGGTTAGGATACTGGCCGCCAGTGACCAACAACCTTCCACACTTCCGGGCAGATGTGCACTGATCGGCTGCAAAGTGCCGCACGTGCAGCTTCAAGCGGCTGCAGGACTCCTCGTCAGTTTTGCCTTCCGGATCCTGACAGGCCCTGTCAATGACTATGCCTATGCTGTCTGCCATCACCTGACTCTTGTCCGCATCGTGCTCCTCCAATGTGTTTTCAGGAACACTGGCACCTGTCTTGTAGACCCCAAGCAAGCCATCGGCGACAAGCGGGCCATCCTCCGAGCCTTGGGAGCCTTGGGAGCCTTGGGGACCTTGGGAGCCTGGAGCCGCTGACTGCTTGGCAGTGCGCGGTGGAACATCGCAACGGTACCTCACCAAACGATACTCCTTGCGGTCGTCCACGGACAAGCTGATGCTGGTGGCTTGTTCGAGACGCTGCTTGCGAACACTCTTGACAGCCCAGTGCATAACAAGAATCATGTTCTTGAGACCTCAGATGATTAATTAAATTATTTGTCCAATTTTAAATTTAAATGTGCCAAAATAAAATGTCAACAATCTGAAACCTTAGGCCTTTTAAAGTGCTGCATCCTGGCTCACACTGTCAAGCTTCGTGTTCCTGCCAGCAGCGAAGTCTTCCGTGGAATAGAATTTCACGGCACCTTTGAAAGAAGATGCTGTCCGGCACGCCCGCCACGCTCGCAGCCAATCTGCCGGCTGAGGAACGTTGCCGGAGAAGAGGTGCTGATGCTTGATGCTGTAAGGCAAGCACTGTGAGATCGGCGTGTCAGGAGCTAGGTAAACCTTCGTGGCCACCTGGTGAACGAAGGTCTTGCTGTGAGCGTGTATGCAGCATGCCTGCATCGCACTCCTGCCAAAGTCTGCGACTGATGCCTTAAATCACAGCTGACAACGACAACATGATGCGGTCCTTGATCGGACCTCATAGGCACCCCACTTGGTAGAGAGGCGACTGCCCAGCCTTAGGCATTTAGGGCTGCGAAAGTTGGGCTGGTCACGGTCAGCCTTAATTTGATCACAAAGGGGCTATCCGCTCGCACTACACTGCACAATTCGGCCGGACTGCAACCTCTTCCGCTCTGCTGGGTTCTGTGCCAAAACATTCATCAAGTGTGCACAAAAGTGACAGCCGATGCCCCAATCGCCTCCTCGGCGAGCTGGTCTCTGGCCCAGCCAAACTGTCCGCTGCTGCTTGCCCCAAGACGTGTGGGTGAGGCTTCCGGCTTTGCTCCAAACTTCCTGGAAGCGAAGGAACCTGACTGACATGTTGGGATTGTATGCAAACGGACGAGATCAAGTCGAGAATGCCGGAAGCAAGAACCAACCAGCAACTGCAACATAGTCAAGTAGCAAGTCTGCCACAAACAATAACGATCCAACAGAGAGAGAGAGAGAGAGAGAGAGAGATAGAGAGAGAGAGAGAGAGAGAGAGAGAGAAAAAGAGAGAGAGAGAGAGAGAGAGAGAGAGACGGAGAGCACGAGAAAGAGAGAGAGAGAGAGAGAGAGAGTGAGAGAGAGAGAGCGAGAGAGATAGAGAGAGAACGAGAGAAAGAGAGAGAGAGAGAGACAGAGAGAGAGAGAGAGAGCGACGGAGAGAGAGAGAGAGAGAGAGCCACCGAGAGAGAGAGAGAGAGAGAAACACGACAGCAAGATGATAAAGAACCAAAATGAAAAAATAGATTGACATGTAATGTGTATGCATGCATGGCAGGCATGTAAGTATGTATGTATGTAGTATGTCTAGTTGCCCGGTTCAGAAACCCTATTAATAATAAGACCATTTATGATTTAAATTTCTATTTAAATATTAAATAAAATTATAAATTAAATAATAATTTAAATTAAAATTAGGGTTTCTGAACCGGGCAGCTTGCATCGGCTGCATTTCTCGTCGCCACCACGATGGCGAGCCAAATGCTCTGCATCGCTCTCAGTCGCGAGACCAACATCGCCACATCCCTTTCCGGTGTCGTCGTCGCCCTCCTGAGCCAGGCCTTCGCCGGACTCGAGCCGAAGCTTCTTCGGGGCCGCAGGCACGGATCCTTGTGGACCTCGTCTTTTTTTTGTCGGCGTCCGGTCCTGCTTCCGGGAGCGTAGTCCGAACCGAGCGGCAAGACCACGCAGGGTGCGGCTACCCACTGGCATTGAAATCCTGGGGGCCTTGGAGCCTTGAGCCTGGGAGCCTGAAGCGACCGCGCAGCACTTACGATGACAAGCAAACGCAACCGTGGCAACCGTGCTAAGACTGGAACTGAATCAGACTCTGCAACTGGTCCAACCGACTCCGACTAACCCGAGAACCGCGCCTCCAGCTTCCCGTTCGATCCGACAGCGAGCAGCTGCCTGGCAGACGTGAGGGTATTACCCCGAGTCAAGCAGCCCGAATGGCACAACACTGCGAACTCCTATGCACACTGCGGCGGTTTGTTTCACTGGGAGTCGGCAGGGTGACCCAGTCCAAATAATCTGTACTGCTCGGAGCAGGCTTTCCCGAATTTTGCACCCGGCCTCACCTAAGTCAGTCTATGATGCCAACTCCGAGTGGCCAAATTAGAAAACGCATGCCATTCTCCGTCATAATATGACGAATTAATGACTACTACTTTGCCCAGCGATGGGCAAGACGGGACGCCAATGTGGCCGTGGCACCCTTCCTCGAGCACTTCTTTGCTGCCTGCGGTCTCAAGACTTTCTGCCAACGCTTTGCCAAAGCTGACATGCCTTCAGCCTTCTGAGCCTTTGGAGCCTTTGGTGCCTTTGGAGGCTTCTGCGCCGATGCAGCCTTTCGCGCCTTGGGAGCCTTCCGTGGCTTGCCATGGCGCTTGCGGCATTTCGCTGCTGCGCCGAGCACAACTGAAGCAGTTATGCTTGGCGCAGCAACGGTGCTGCACAAGGCTGTCGGCCGGGAAGCTTTGGGCAGGCTCCAGTTTACCAACGCAAGCGCAAACTTCATTGCCACGGCTACAATCTGCACATGCATCGTGTTGCCGCCCATGCTGGCGAGCTCCTTGTCGGTCACTTTGCTGGGAAAAACCATACGGTGAATTGGAAAACCGTGCAGCATGACTTTTTCAAGCGGGCTAATGATCCTTCCAGCTCGTGCGGATACCAGTACGGCCCCAGGTGTAACAGTAGGCAGGGAGCCATCGGTCCGCACCCGGGCTCGGTTCACATTCTGGGATACATCCGCGACAAGCTCCTTACTGCCTGCATGCTTTGTGCAAATGATGTCCCAGGCATCACGCTCACGCGGCAAATGCAGGAACAACGTGTCTGCGCAGCAGGCGACTCCGCTCTCAGTGCAAGGCCTCCGACTCTCACTCTTCAACCGGCTGCCCTGCTGCATTGAAGCTTTGCACATCTTGTGCAATTCTTTCCACTTTGGAGCATGGGAGCCTGGAGCCTGGGAGCCTGGGAACCCACGGTTGGAAGCTTGCGACCACTTCCGTTTGCGGCTTTCCTGGTACTGTGCCACAGCAGGGTGGCTCGCCGGTAGCAGTCTATCCAAAAGATCGACTGCGTCTCCGGAAGCAACTGCATCCAGGACTTCCGCCCAAGCCTCACGAAGCCAGCACGACATGTCCTTTGGCGAGATGAGGCTCACATCTTGCCGGACCCCGATGAAGTAGTACCTAGGCCTCTGGATGGGCTCCTGTAGCTCGGCAGGGTTCATCAAAATCATTTCGACATGATAGCCTGTGGACCTGAGTGCCGCCAGAACCTTTGCAGAAACACGCTTGATGCCTGACACATTCTCCAGCACGAAGCACGAGGGCCGCACAAGTTGGATGCGTGCAACGACCCCATAGAATATTTGAGCCTGTTTTTCCTTGAGGAGCCTTGACTTATTGTGGAGCAGGCTGAACGGCTTGCAGCTGAAGCCGGCAATGTACAGGTGAACGAACGGTGCCTTGTCAGCATCCAGGACACTGTGGAACAGTACCGAGGGCTTGGTATTAGCCTCGATAACCGACCGAGGACCAGCAGCCACCTCACTCCCAAACAAATGCTGGTGCGTGATGCCGAGCTCCCTAAGGCCATGGATCGGTGCATCAATGCCACTGCAATCAGTTCCCACCAACAATCTTTGTGGAAGTTTGGCCGCCCCGAGACCAAAACGGGCATGAGTGGCACCGATGCTGGCCTCGGTGGCACTCTGAAAGCCGGACCCCCAGCCGTCCAGCCACTGCCTCAAAGTGCCTGGAATCATGGCGGCAGCGACTCTACTGGGCCTTGGAGCCTGAGAGCCTGGGTGCCTGGGTGCCTGGAGCCTTGAATGCAACGGTAACGTTTAAATTGCTGCACTTGCTGACAACTTCAAACTTCGCGACGAGTGACTGGCACTGGGACAGAAGCAACGGCGATGATCCCACCAGACCAGTACCCCTCAATGACCCTTGGATGCACACAAAACACCCTTAGATGCAGTGCCTGGCCTGATCGTTGCATCCAAGGGTCATCCGGGTGCATTGAAGGGTCCTTTCAAGTTTTGGTGTGTGCTTTGCTGAAGGAATACAGGTGGTACAGGGTGGGGTTTAGGATAAAGGTGGCTTGGTGTCGAGGGTTTCGAGTGTAACCTGGGTTTCAGCAATTGACCCTTGGATGCACACAAAACACCCTTAGATGCAGTGCCTGGCCTGATCGTTGCATCCAAGGGTCATCCGGGTGCATTGAAGGGTCCTGTCAAGTTTTGGTGTGTGCTTTGCTTAAGGAATTTACAGGGTGTACAGGGGGGCTTTAAGGATTTAGGTGGTTTGGTAACGAGGGTTTCGAGTGTAACCTGGGTTTCAACTATCATCGACGAACAACAATGACGAGTTTGAAGACTTGTATCAATCTTTGTGGAAGCTTGGTCGCCCCGAGACCAAAACGTGCTGGCATCGGTGGCACTCTGAAAGCCCGAACCCCAGCCATCCAGCCACTGCCTCAAAGTGCCTGGAGACGCACGGAGGGCTGGTAGACATGCAGCCTCAGGGGCTTGGAGCCTGAGAGCCTGAGAGCCTGGGCGCCTGGGGGCCTGGGGGCCTGGAGCCTTGAATGCAAAGTTTGAATTCTGCACTTGCACAACTTCAGACTTCGCGACGAGTGACTGGCACTGGGACAGAAGCAAAGCCGATGATCCCAGCAGTAAAGCCTCCCCCTCATTGCAGGAACAATCTGGCGGGACAACAGGATCCCTGGCCCAGATTTTGCCCCAGCTGGCGCATTAGCCCATTGGCCCAGCTGTCATCTGCCACTGCCTTGGCAGGTTGGCCTCAAGGCTGAGTTCCTGCGGCCCGACACCCGGCCAACGGTGCCCACAGTGACGTAACGGCAGCGTACACTGTGTGGGTAGGGTCAAAATGCACACTCTACTAGGCCTTGGAGCCTGAGAGCCTGGGTGCCTTGGTGCCTGGAGCCTTGAATGCAACGTTTAAGTTGAATGCAGCACTTGCTGACAACTTCAAACTTCGCGACGAGTGACTGGCACTGGGACAGAAGCAAAGGCGATGATCCCACCAGACCAGTACCCCTCAATGACCCTTGGATGCACACAAAACACCCTTAGATGCAGTGCCTGGCCTGATCGTTGCATCCAAGGGTCATCCGGGTGCATTGAAGGGTCCTGTCAAGTTTTGGTGTGTGCTTTGCTTAAGGAATACAGGGGGTACAGGGGGCTTTAGGATTTAGGTAGTTTGGTGTCCAGGGTTTCGAGTGTAACCTGGGTTTCAGCAATTATCGACGATCAAGAACGGGGTTTAGGGTTTACTTTCATTTTTTATTATTTAATTAAATTAAATGTTACTTAATTTAAAATAATAATTTTGAAATTAAACTTTAACCCTAAACCCTAAACCCTCATGGGGGCTGTTAGGGGTTGAAGCCTTTACTGGAGTGGGCATTTTAGGGGTACCAGGCTTTAGGGAGCGGGCTATGGGCAGGGTGTTAGGCTTACGGCGGGGTCATAGGCGTTCAAAGGGATTTTAATGAATCGACTGCAGCCGAGTACCGTAAGATGGTGATAATCTTAAGGGTTTAGGGTCTGGAATTTAATAGGGTCCAGGGTTTAGGGTTTAGACGATTTATGGCCTACTTTCAACAAAAACGTTGCTAAACCCCGCCACTACCTCTTTAATCATTTTTGTGAGGGGTTTGCCAAACAAAATCCTTCGGAGCCTTGGAGCCTTGGAGCCTAGGGGCCCTCGCGGACGCGTGACGCGTGCGTGACAATGTGTTTCTGTCACGCTATACGCGCATGTACGCGCTTCTGAGGGTCCGTGGACCGGAGCGCCGGCTCACAGCCGCTGCGCAGTCTCCATGCGTTTGTGGTCTGGAACTTCCAGTACCGCATGGCTGTGGCGTTGCCGTGCTGCCATGTGCAGCCCCAGTTTGCCGCGACCGGCAGGCAATTGTACTCGCCGTATGGCCTCCAGGATTGGGAACGCAGACGCTGCATTGCCCCGTGGAGTTGTTGCCATACCACGCTTAGCTCGTCCCAATTCGAGCAGCGTGTTCATAGGGCTGAGCCCCGCGGCGATGCCCGATACGGGACATGCCTTTGTGTGAACTCCGGTTTAGGATTTAGGGATTTAAGGGTTTAGGGATTTAGGGGTTTAGGGTTTTAGGGGTTTAGGGGTTTAGGGGTTTAGGGGTCTAGGGGTCTAGGGTAGGGTTTTAGGGGTTTAGGGGTTTAGGGTTTAGGGGTTTAGGGGTTTAGGGTTTAGGGTTTACAGGGGTTTAGGGTTTTTTTGATGCGATGGCAGAGGGGTTTAGGGTTTAGGGGATTGGGGTTTAGGGTTTCGGGGCTAAGGGTTTAAGGCTACCTAGCAAGGACGAAGCCCGCATTGCAGGGTAACTCCGAAGCAACAGGGTTAAGGGTTTGTAAGGATTTAGGGTTTAGGGTTTGTAAGGGTTTAGGGTTTGTAAGGATTTAGGGTTCAGGGTTTGCAAGGATTTAGGGTTTAGGGTTTGTAAGGACTTAGGGTTTAGGGTTTATCGGATTTAGGGTTTAGGGTTTGTAAGGACTTAGGGTTTAGGGTTTAGGGTTTGTAAGGAATTAGGGTTTAGGGTTTGTAAGGACTTAGGGTTACGGGTTTAAGTAAGGATTTAGGGTTCAGGGTTTGCAAGGACTTAGGGTTAAGGGTTTGTAAGGACGTAGGCTTAGGGTTTAGGGTTTGTAAGGAATTAGGGTTTAGGGTTTGTAAGGACTTAGGGTTTAGGGTTTAAGTAAGGATTTAGGGTTCAGGGCTTGCAAGGACTTAGGGTTAAGGGTTTGTAAGGACTTAGGGTTTAGGGTTTAAGGATTTAGGGTTCAGGGTTTGCAAGGACTTAGGGTTAAGGGTTTGTAAGGACTTAGGCTTAGGGTTTAGGGTTTGTAAGGCCTTAGGGTTTAGGGTTTGTAAGGACTTAGGGTCTAGGGTTTGGGCTTTAAGGGTTTTGGAATTAACTTAATGGAACCTTCCGCGAGTCCCTAAACCCTAAATTCCTTACAAGCCCTAAACCCTAAGCCTAAGTCCTTACAAACCCTTCACCCTAACTCCTTGCAAACCCTGAACCCTAAATCCTTACTTAAACCCTAAACCCTAAGTCCTTACAAACCCTAACTAAATCCTTACAAACCCTAAACCCTAAGCCTAAGTCCTTACAAACCCGAACCCGCCTCCGGCTCCAGCGCGGATTCCGCTGCCGAGCCTCGGCGAGTAAGGTTTAGGGTTTAGGGTTTAGGGTTTTCGACGCTCACACTCGCACAGGCAGGCAAGGCTCCACGGGTTTAGGGTTTAGGGTTTATGGATACCCTTCAAAAAAGCCTGAATTCCCGCTGGCCTGAGCAGGCAAGCCGGGCCGGGATGAAGATCGCCTGCCGCGGGGGGGGGGGTTCTGCGGTTTATCGGGCTGGGGGGTTTTACTTGACAAGCTGATTGAAGAAAGCATTGTTTTTGCATGTGCGCTCGCTGTCGGCCGCACGGCTGGAGGGTGCAGGCAACATCGACTAGACTTGACGTTGCTCTGCACATGCCAGGATTCTGGCCAGCTGGACAATGCCAGGATTCCGTCGTGGCTGGCTGGCTTGAAATCTTTGAATTGGCACAAGCTGCTTGTCCCCCTGTGCGTTCGGCCAAGATCCTAAGCCTAGGAGCCTTGGGAGCCTGGGAGCCTTGGAACCTTGAACTTGAGTGAAACAAAGCTATAATACATTTACACATGAATCATATCACTTTTGTATTATTGTCATTAATATAAATCATGGCTCCTCAAGACATCCCAGCCTTAGAACCTAGGAGCCTAGGGGCCTGGGGATCGCCTGTGCAAAACAAAGCCAGCCAGCAATGAAACAGTCAGCAGGCTTCACTGATCAGGGTTCCTGGTGCCTGAGTATTTCATGGCCAAGTCGACCTGTCGCCCCCATTTACCGCACCGGCAGAGGGTGACCGTGTACGGCCTGCCAATGGCATCCAGGTGCCGCTGAAACTTCATCACCAAGGGCACCCGCTTCCACAGGATCACGCGTTCCTGGGATGGAAGGTTATCAGTCAAGTTAATACTAAACTATTTTATTTAAAATCGCCCAGGCGCCAGAGTGTAGCCATCCAAGAAGAGCCCGAAGTCGTCCCCATCGCCCAGGTAGGCGAAGGTCACCTCCCTCTTCTTCGAGAAGCGGAAGTCCTCCATGGTCTCGTCCAGATCGCCCTTGATCACCTCACAGAACGGCATCTTCGTCTCAGTGACGAACTTCTTCGAAGCGCAAACCGTCGCTGGGATCAGGCCGATGGAGTAGAAATAGCCTTGATCGGTCGCCCACAAAGACTTGGATCCGTACAGCGCCGCCATCTCAAGGCCGTCGGCAGGGAGTGGCGTAATGAAGTGCCCAAACCCGGCATCCATCCGGGCAGTGTTGGTCATCACCTCCGACCGCCTTGGATTTTTATCTAATTAATAAATAATTTAATCATAACGGAACGGCACAAAATACTGAGCCAAGTTGCCGCAGGGCTTGGTTGAAGACAGCAAGCCGCACGCCGCACTTGTACAGCTTGTTTTCATACTCCTCGGTGAAGCGCTCGCGGAGGAAACTGTTTTGGAGCATCATCTCGTTCCTCTCCTCCACGGATGCGAAGGTCTGCGCAGCAATGCCTATCGGAGCAGATCTTGGTACCGCTGACAGGAACCCGCATTTGTTCAAGAACATGGAGGCAAAGGCCAAGACATCCTGGGCGTACGATGACACCGACAAGAGCAAGCCATCCGTCATGATCGGCAGTGACCATCCTGCCCACTGGGGATCCTGGTCCTTGGTTAAGTCTGGACTCAGTCGAATGAGTCATATATAATAAGTCAAACGATGCAAACAATCTGTTACTCCAACTTCGATCTAGCCTAGCCAGGGTTCGAAGCGATTCAACATACATCCTCGCGCAGCCCCGTTTGCTATGTATGGGAACAAGAGGATGCGGACCACCTTTTCGTCAGGCGCATAGAGAAACTGATCCAGAAGCTCCCGGATGCAGCACGCCACCTCAGTGCAATTAATAATAATTACATTCATTCACAGATTTAAGTTAATTAATAACTTCATCAGGCTCAGGTACAACAGAGTACACCTGCGGCGTTGCATTCTGCGGCGGCATGGACGTCGCGATGCTCTGCAACTTGGGCATAACCTCCATGTCTTCCCACGGGAAATCTGAGTTGACACGATCTTCAGAACAATTCAAATGAAAAACTAAACTACAACCTACTATAATTAATATGATTAATTATTATGATTACTAAATTAAATTAATTAAATTATTATATTATTAAATTAAATTTTAATGTTATTCTGCCGAGGTACATGCTATGATGCCACAATTGTCGGAAAAACTGCCGTCTGGGTAGAATGAGCTGCGATACGCATTGAACCCTGCCAGTGCCCACGTGAACTGCTCACTCGTGTCGTAACGGTCTCTCAGCAGGTCCGGCGCTTGCTTCAGGTGCCTGGAGGATCTATAATAATAATTATTAAAATAAAAAACTGATTAATTATAAGTTCAAAGCAATAAACCAAATAATTAATGTAACATCTAACTTGAACTCCCAGTCGTTTAAGCCAATGTGCATATAGTGGGACTGGAGATCCGTAGCCTTGTAGCGCAGCATCGCCGGTTTGATCATGGACTGAAGGACTTGTGGGATGTTCTCGCCGACATCCGACGAAGTGGCATCGTCACTGGCCCTTGCCAACGAAGTCGATCCCGAGCCAGGCTGCTGCTGCTCCTCCTGGTCCTCCTTTTTGGCGGGATCTGAGACCACTGTGAAGCCCTCCGAATCCACCGTCTCGGACGGCTGTGCAGCCGCAGCTGCGGCGGTGTCCGTGGACTCGACCGCCTTCGCTCGGAGCTTCAATGCAGCCATGATGTCACTGTCCGCGCTGCTTGACATATGCTAACCCAGGAACTGGTCTGACTCCTGCTTCAGGAGCCTGAAACCTGGGAGCCTGAAAGAGCCTGGGAGCCACCGTGACAGGAAACGCAAGTGAAAGCAGCTGACTGTGATTGCATGTGGTGCACGGCAAACACTCCAGGCATGCATGCAACACTCCGCAGGTGCATGCAAAACTGGCGGCTTGCCTTCACGAAGAGCCGCGGCGGCCGTCGGCAGGTGTTCAAAACCTCAGTGGAACTGACTGAAATCTGGGAGCCTAAAGTGCCTGGGAGCCACCGTGACAGGAATTTCAAGTCAAAGCAGCTGACTGTCATTGCATGTGGTGCTCGGCAAACACTCCAGCGGCAACACTCGCAAGTCAAAGCAACTGACTGTGATTGCATGTGGTGCTCGGCAAACACTCCATTGGCAACACTCCACGGGTGCGTGCAAAACTCGCGGATTGCCTTTGCAGAGCCGCGGCGGCCGTCGGCAGGTGTTCAAAACCTCAGTGGAACTGACTGAAACCTGGGAGCCTAAAGTGCCTGGGAGCCTTTAAAGTGAAAGCTGCTGACTGTCATTGCATGTGGTGCTCGGAAAACACTCCAGCGGCAACACTCGCAAGTCAAAGCAGCTGACTGTGATTGCATGTGGTGCGCGGCAAACACTCTAGGCATGCATGCAACACTCCACGGGTAAATGCAAAACTAGCGGCTTGTCTTCGAAGAGCCGCGGCGGCCGTCGGCAGGTGTTCAAACCTCAGTGGAACTGACTGAAACCTGGGAGCCTAAAGTGCCTGGGAGCCTTTAAAGTGAAAGCTGCTGACTGTCATTGCATGTGGTGCTCGGCAAACACTCCAGCGGCAACACTCGCAAGTCAAAGCAGCTGACTGTGATTGCATGTGGTGCACGGCAAACACTCTGGGCATGCATGCAACACTCCATGGGTAAATGCAAAACTGGCGGCTTGTCTTCGCAGAGCCGCGGCGGCCGTCGGCAGGCGTTCAAAACCTCAGTGGAACTGACTGAAACCTGGGAGCCTAAAGTGCCTGGGAGCCTAAAGTGCCTGGGAGTCACCGTGACAGGAATCGCAAGTCAAAGCAGCTGACTGTCATTGCATGTGGTGCTCGGCAAACACTCCAGCGGCAACACTCGCAAGTCAAAGCAGCTGACTGTCATTGCATGTGGTGCTGGGCAAACACTCCAGGGGCAACACTCCACGGGTGCATGCAAAACTGGTGGCTTGTCTTCGAAGAGCCGCGGCGGCCGTCGGCAGGTGTTCAAAACCTCAGTGGAACTGACTGAAACCTGGGAGAGCCTAAAGTGCCTGGGAGCCTAAAGTGAAAGCAGCTGACTGTCATTGCATGTGGTGCTCGGCAAACACTCCAGTGGCAACACTCGCAAGTCAAAGCAGCTGACTGTGATTGCATGTGGTGCACGGCAAACACTCTAGGCATGCATGCAACACTCCACGGGTAAATGCAAAACTGGCGGCTTGTCTTCGAAGAGCCGCGGCGGCCGTCGGAGGAAACCTCAGTGGAACTGAGTGAAACCTGGGAGCCTAAAGTGCCTGGGAGCCTAAAGTGAAAGCTGCTGACTGTCATTGCATGTGGTGCTCGACAAACGCTCCAGTGGCAACACTCGCAAGTCAAAGCAGCTGACTGTGATTGCATGTGGTGCACGGCAAACACTCTAGGCATGCATGCAACACTCCACGGGTGCATGCAAAACTGGCGGCTTGTCTTCAAACTTCGAAGAGCCGCGGCGGCCGTCGGCAGGTGTTCAAAACCTCAGTGGGGCTGACTGAAACCTGGGAGCCTAAAGTGCCTGGGAGCCTAAAGTGAAAGCAGCTGACTGTCATTGCATGTGGTGCTCGACAAACACTCCAGTGGCAACACTCGCAAGTCAAAGCAGCTGACTGTGATTGCATGTGGTGCACGGCAAACACTCTAGGCATGCATGCAACACTCCACGGGTAAATGCAAAACTAGCGGCTTGTCTTCGAAGAGCCGCGGCGGCCGTCGGCAGGTGTTCAAACCTCAGTGGAACTGACTGAAACCTGGGAGCCTAAAGTGCCTGGGAGCCTAAGTGCCTGGGAGCCTAAAGTGAAAGCAGCTGACTGTCATTGCATGTGGTGCTCGGCAAACACTCCAGTGGCAACACTCGCAAGTCAAAGCAGCTGACTGTGATTGCATGTGGTGCACGGCAAACACTCTAGGCATGCATGCAACACTCCACGGGTAAATGCAAAACTGGCGGCTTGTCTTCGAAGAGCCGCGGCGGCCTTCGGCAGGAAACCTCGGTGGAACTGAGTGAAACCTGGGAGCCTAAAGTGCCTGGGAGCCTAAAGTGCCTGGGAGCCTAAAGTGAAAGCAGCTGACTGTCATTGCATGTGGTGCTCGGCAAACACTCCAGTGGCAACACTCGCAAGTCAAAGCAGCTGACTGTGATTGCATGTGGTGCACGGCAAACACTCTAGGCATGCATGCAACACTCCACGGGTGCATGCAAAACTGGCGGCTTGTCTTCAAACTTCGAAGAGCCGCGGCGGCCGTCGGCAGGTGTTCAAAACCTCAGTGGAACTGACTGAAACCTTGGAGCCTAAAGTGCCTGGGAGCCTAAAGTGAAAGCAGCTGACTGTCATTGCATGTGGTGCTCGGCAAACACTCCAGCGGCAACACTCGCAAGTCAAAGCAGCTGACTGTGATTGCATGTGGTGCGCGGCAAACACTCTAGGCATGCATGCAACCCTCCACGGGTAAATGCAAAACTAGCGGCTTGTCTTCGAAGAGCCGCGGCGGCCGTCGGCAGGTGTTCAAACCTCAGTGGAACTGACTGAAACCTGGGAGCCTAAAGTGCCTGGGAGCCTAAACTGAAAGCAGCTGACTGTCATTGCATGTGGTGCTCGGCAAACACTCCAGTGGCAACACTCGCAAGTCAAAGCAGCTGACTCTGATTGCATGTGGTGCACGGCAAACACTCAAGGCATGCATGCAACACTCCACGGGTAAATGCAAAACTGGCGGCTTGTCTTCGCAGAGCCGCGGCGGCCGTCGGCAGGCGTTCAAAACCTCAGTGGAACTGACTGAAACCTGGGAGCCTAAAGTGCCTGGGAGCCTAAAGTGCCTGGGAGCCGCCGTGACAGGAATCGCAAGTCAAAGCAGCTGACTGTCATTGCATGTCATGCTATAACATGATTTTTGCTCTCGTCCTGCCCCCCCCCCCCTGAGGCTGCGGCTGCGGCTGCGGCCACAGCCGAAGAGTGATCACGACGAAGTCCATGAAGACATGGCGGCACGGGTTAGGGGTGGGCCTTGAGCCTGGCAGCCTGGGAGCCTTGGAGCCACCACCTACTGTAGTCTGACTGACTGAGCCTGGACCTGCATGCTGGGGTCTGACCGAGCCTGGTGCATTGTTCTGGGTCTGTGCATGCATGCTGGGGTCTGACCCAGCCTGGTGCATTGTTCTGGGTCTGACCGAGCCTCGTGCATTGGTCTGTGCATGCATGCTGGGGTCTGACCGAGCCTGGTGCATTGTTCTGGGTCTGTGCATGCATGCTGGGGTCTGACCCAGCCTGGTGCATTGTTCTGGGTCTGACCGAGCCTCGTGCATTGGTCTGTGCATGCATGCTGGGGTCTGACCGAGCCTGGTGCATTGTTCTGGGTCTGTGCATGCACGCTGGGGCCTCGGTCGGGGATGCACGGGCATCCCTCACCCCCGCAAGATGTCAGTGGTGGGACCACAGACATCTTGCGGGGGTGATGGATGTCTCTATCCATGCACGCTGGGGCCTCGGTCGGGGTTCATGCACGCACATCCTTCACCCCTGCAAGATGTCGGTGGTGGGACCACAGACATCTTGCAGGGGTGAGGGATGTCCGTGCATCCCCCGACAGGCATCAACTCCAACCAGGTGTTTCCACTGGAAACACCTGGTTGGATTGATGCCTGGTCTGACCCCTCGAGCCTGAAGGCTGCAGTTGGTTGTATGCAATGAACCCCACAAAACACCAAAAAATTAAAAATCCCCGAAACGGCCACCAAGTAAATAAAAGCTATTGACTTACTACACATATATAGATAGGTACGTACATGCATGCTGTACTACATACATACATACTTACTTACTTACTTGCTTACTTACTTACTCACTCACTGACCTACTTATATGATCATGCACACTCATAGACATACGTATACATATACATTATGTACAGAGATGGAAAGTTTGTAGTGGGTCAGAAAAACGACTTGTACACAACTGGGGACGTAGTGTTAGTGTGCCGGCTCGTCAGCTTAAACCCTACCTAAACCCCAAGACACGCTGAACTCACCCAAAAAAGCCTAAACTTCCAACAGCACCCAAACCTCTGAAGAAACCCAAACCCACCCAAAAGCCTAAACCACTGAACAACAAAACTGCCTCCTATAACCCTAAACAAATCCCACAAACCACCTCGCCCAGCGCTGAGGTTTCGATGTCATCGGGATTCGGGTCGTCAGGCAGCTGAGTCGGAGTTTCGGGTCGGAGACCAGTGGCTTTCCTGGACTGCTTTTAGGGTTTAGGGTAGATTCCTTTCAGCGATCTATGAGGAATCTGTAAGGTTCTATAAGGGCTCCTAAAATGGGATCTACAAGGGCTCCTTGAAGGGATGTATAAGAGGGTCCAGGGTTTTGGGGTTTGGGGTTAGGGCCTAGGCTTTGGGGTTGTTTAGGGTTTTATAGGGTTGCAGGTTTAGGGTTTAAGAATAGGGCTTGGGGTCCTGTCTAGTATAGTTATCAGTCAGGCGCCCTAAGGAATAACATTGATAATTATCTAGGCTTCTATAGTATAGGGGTCTGCTAGCGTTGAGTGTCTTGGGTTAAGGTTCAGGCACCCTAAATCCTAAACCCGTTTAGGGAAACGGTTTCAAGGGTTAAGAGATCTGACTGAGAGCTGGCGCTTTCGCATTGTGTGAATACCGT